GCGATCAAGACGGCCTTACGTACTAACCCAAGGCCATAACCATAACTACCCTACTACCAAGTTGCTAATTCTTGTATTCAAGTCTGAAAAGCAGCTGGCCATCAGCCCACCGCCGGCCGATACATGTCCATGATATCTTTTTAATGAGGCATTGACTATGTTAATGGAGCTTTGCTACACTTACGAAAGTTTTTTACGAAGAGTTACGTAAAGGGTGACGTGGCTTTGTTTAGTTGGATAGCACACCCCGCACCCTGAAAATCAGGGGGGATTGGTTAGGATTAGGGAAGGAGATAACGTTTTTACTTAAGTTTACGTAGTATTTTTCGTAGGTGTAGCATTTTTGTATGTTAATGATATCTTTTTGGTTGTCTCCTCTTTTTTCCCTTAGATTAGACGTTGACTCCACTACAGCCACTAAAGCCCGGCCAGTCGCCAACGTCAACGCCTCGCTGACGATTGGGGAGTTCAAGGCCATCTTCAAGTCTTGCTTGAATCTCCAACAAATTAATAAGTGGTATTTGGAAAGTGTCAAAGCTGTGCGTTTGCTTGTCTTTCGACATGCGCAACAAAAAAGCGGAGTGTTCAAGTTGCCTTTAGCAAGGATCAACATAATCAATCATTTGTTCGTCCATGATAAGAGAGCAAAAGGGCAACTCGCAACTGATTCTTCAAGTTAAAAACAAAAACAAAGCGGGATCGTCAACATTTTATGTATTCTCAAAACCTCTTGATTGGGCCCGAATCATACTGAATTCTGGACTCCTCCGCAAATAATAACTGAAAAGCAAACGCACAATTGGGCTCCTCTCATTCTATCCAAGTAGTAGAAAAAATGCTAGCCCCCGCTGTCAGATTTCCCGTCGCAGTAGATAGTATTCAACACTTGGCCCCTTGTGCGATAAACCACGGCACACTGAATATGAAGCGAAATGGCATATTTGTCGAAGTTAAGGCACTGTTGCAGGTTTGTGGTCTCTTTACAGCTGCGGCCTGCAACCCAGATGGTGGGTGCACCGTCACTCAACACAGATGGGTTTGTTTAACCGTGACACTCTTCTAGCATGCGACCTGGCTTGTTTTAGAGGATAGGGTTCGGTTCCAGGTTCCGGCGTCTCTCTTCCATATCACTTTTCTTCCATGGCATATGGCATGGTTCAGAACATCTGTGTCAATGATCCATCACTTCCTTAATGTGTCTGCTTGAAATCAAATCACGTCGTTTCCGCTGATAAACCCCGAGACATGCCCCGTCTCCTATCTCGTGCGATGTTCTGTCAACAACCTCCTCACATCCATGTTCGTGGACACGTCGGTCAAACAGAAACGGCGTAAAAAGACAGAAATCATCACTCGTCAGTTCGTTCTTTCTTCGGATGCATATGACCAGGTATAAGAAAATGTGAAAACGGTTGACCTGCTCCAGACCTAGAGCTGGTTCAACAAAAAGGAATAGTAGTATAGTTCCAACTGGCGCATGGTTTAACAAAGGAAATGGCCAGTGGAACAGCTAGCCTTGGAATTCTGGAAGAAATGGCTAATGTGATGATGTGCAGTCTAATGTAATCATACTAGGATGGTGAGGCTACTAACACTAGTATGAAGACTTTGTAGTATAAGCATAGACCGTACCAAACACTTGACTTGCGCAGCTGCCTGCATTCTGGCGCGTATTGACCTGGGCGGGCCGTTGAACTCGATCCGAGCGTCGAGTTCGGCGCGGCAATGTGAGCTCTCTTCTTGCAGATCTCCAGATATTGGTAGGTTCGCGTGCCTGCCTCACTCCAGATCTAACGCGTTCGCAACGTGCGGGCATGGCATGTGCCACCGCCGACATGCGCGGTCTGGGGCCAAACCGACCGGCGCGAGCTGCCGCCGAACCGAATCCGGCGCCTGATTCGATCCGGATCGGCGGTGTCCCGGCGCTCTGTGTGCGTGGTGACCATGTCATACGTGTTCTCCGCCGCTTTGCGACGGAGTGGATGAATCGGATGTGCGTCCACTCGCCAGCTTGCCAGTTTGCGCTGTGCTGGGGCGCACGCACGTCCGTCCGACGCGTCCCACCACCGCCGCTCCAGATGGATCGAGCAAGAGGGGCCGACAGGGCGCCGGCACCGTGAGGCGTCGAGCATCGGAATGGAAGAAGCGGTGCATCTGACGCATATCCCAGTTTGCTGGCCCGTTGCGGCCCGGTCTGGTCCTTTCGGCCGCCGTAAGTATGCCGTGGCATTCACCATGCCAGTGTGCGAGCTGGGGTTTCCCTTTTCGGTCGGGAGACAGGGAATCAACTGGCTCTGCACGATCAAACCGTAAGCATGGATCGCTGAGAATGAGGAGCCAGCTAGGAACAGAGGATAAGATATGTAAACAGTGTTTTGCACAGCCTGGAACTACTACTCCTACTGGCAATTGGCATTGGCACTAGCAGACAGTGGCCGAGTGCATTGGCAATTTGCACAGCCTCGATCGGTGACAGCGGTTGAATGCACTGCTGCAATGTACGTACGGTACATAGCTATAAACAGAGGTGGGTGAAAGGCACCAACTCTAGGAGGAGTCGTTCACACTGTTGAGATATCTGTTCTGCGAGCTCCGGTCTTATCTTTGAATTCTGATCCAAATTTGATTTCTTCCCGGTCTACCGCAGAATTACGTAGTAGGATATTGCCGAGTGCATAGTAGTGTGACCGTGGAGGTCAAGTACTCCTACCCACCATGTTCAACGGTGGGTTTGGTGGAGCAAACCTGTCCTTACTCCGATGATATACCATTACTCTGTTGCAGACTCACAAGCCACAATGTCAAAGCATGCACCCAAAGCCCCTTTTGGGCGCACGCGTTGACCTCCGCCTGTGACACGCTTACACGATTTTATAACTACACAGAGGAAAGAATGGAGTTCTTCCCTCCGATGCGAGCCGAATCACCAGCCACTGGTGACTGGTGTCGCGGCATTCCGCTTTCTCGGCAGTTAATCCGATCGTCTCTGACCGAGAACAAGGAGCCACTACGGCTACGGGCGTTGCACGTCCAATCTTGACCGGTGCGGCGGCACGGCACCGCTAATTTAAGTGGGCGGGCACGGCTGAGCTGATGAGCTCAACTGACCCGGAATTAACGACCTCAACCGGCGCCAGCCGCGGATTAATTAGAGTAGAGGAGGCCGTCGCATCACGCAGCTGACCTGACAGACACACCCTATTGCACTAACCACACTCGTGCTTCACATGTAGTAGTACTTGCATCTATTTTGGCTCAAAAAATAATAGTCTATTTTTGCTCTGTACTGACGCTCGTGAATCCCATTTAATCACACGAAAATCACGAGCGGTACGCCCCCCGTTATAGAATGCAGGGCAGGATCGCCCTGGCGGTTTTCCAATCTCGTGTTCCTCGTTCTCAGTTTTCTGAAAAAACACGCGGAACGCGGAGTGCATACTGTATTTTTTTTGGCCTCACACAAAGGTGAGCATTTTTTTTTTCGAAACGGAGGCAAAAGATTTGCCTCATTCATTAAATAAGAGAGAAGAGTTTTAGGGTGTTACAAGTGACCACACACACGGCATGGCAACTACTCGCGTACAATAATGAACCCCAGTTTTTTAGCACCCGCAAAAACCCAAAGCTTGGCGTCATCGATGATAGTTCGGAGGAGGACCGGTGGTGGTGCACTCTTGCGACGGAAGACCCGAGCGTTACGCTCGTTCCAGATTGTCCAAGAAACCAACATTGTAAGGGAGGCCAAGGCTCGTCGATCTGGGTTTTGCAAGCTGGTTCGCTTGTCCCACCATTCCAAAACGGATCCATCCAAGTGCCAAGAAGAGGTGTCCATGTGAGCAAGACCGAATTCAAGGATGACCGAGTTCCATAGCCTAATAGTGTAGCGACATTTGAAGAAGAGGTGCGCGCCTGTCTCGCCTTCAGTCCTGCAGAGTGGGCAAAGTCCACAGTTTTCCCATCCGCGCCGCTCTAATCTGTCGGCAGTCCAAATCCGGTCTTGGATAGCCAACCAAGCAAAGAATTTGATCTTGGGAGGGGCCCACGCCTTCCAGATCATGAAGTCCATAGGCGATAGCGTCAAGCCGAGGAACTGTGCCTTGTATGCAGTGGCCGCCGAGTAGATCCCGTTATTGGCATGTTTCTAGATAATGTCATCGTCAGCTTGTGTGTCCAGGTGTAGATCATGCACCAACATCCATAACGTGAAGAACTGACGGATGTGGGCAATGGAAGCGACGATGTTATGGTTGATCTTAAGAATCCAAGCAGGCTTCACGCACTTTTCAATTCTTATGCGTGGAGGCACCGTATATTAAAGGAGCAATGTTCTTCGGTTTCCGCCCAAGAAGCTATGGGGAGTCCCAAAAAGGTGTTTTGGCTCCATTGCCCAAAATGATGGTCGCATAGAAAAAGTCCCAAAAAGGTGAGCATATTGTATTGCTGCACCGCCACAAAAACAATACTGCGAGGAGATTGATTCGCTGAGTGGGCAGAAATAACAATGACAGTGGGATGCATGGGCCAAGTGCCGTTGGTGGCGACTGGCGGAGAGGAGAGGAGAGGAGATGGATGCGTTTGACGGCGGCATGTGCAGCGAGCGAGCGAGCGTCAGGCGCGGGCGCCCGTCGGTTGATTGACCGCATGAGCCGCCGCGCGTTCCCACCCACACAAACGCACGGAAAAATGATGGAAAAGAAACAGCGTCCAATTGCCGCGCGTGGGTAGAACGCACAAGCCACGCTTTCTGCCTCGCCAAGTTGAGCATTGACACACACCAAACACCTTCCCCGCCCCGATCGGCCCCCTAATCTAATCCCCACCCAATTAGCTCCAAGTCGTCTTCGCCTTCCCCTTCCCCTCCTAACCCCATTGCTTCCATGGATATATAAACGCGCGCAACCACAGGCCACCCAAACCCAACGCACACCAAACAAAAACAACAACAACAAGATCACCGGCGCATCCCATCCCAGAGCAACCACACACGCAGACAAGCAAGAATGGCGATCGCCGTGAGCGGGCAATGGACTCGCCTGCGGACGCTCGGCTGCGGCGCGTCGGGGGCCGTGGTCACCCTGGCGGCCGACGCCGCGTCGGGGGAGCTGTTCGCGGTCAAGTCCGTGCGCGCGGCGGACGCGGCGCAGCTGAGCCGGGAGCAGGGGATCCTCTCCGGGCTCTCCTCGCCGCACGTCGTGGGCTGCATCGGCGGCGGCGGCGACCGCGACGGCTCCTACCACCTCTTCCTCGAGTTCGCCCCCGGCGGCTCGCTCGCCGACGAGGCCGCGAGGAATGGGGGCCGCCTGGAGGAGCGCGCCATCCGGGCGTACGCGGCGGACGTCCTGCGCGGGCTCGCCTACATCCACGGCAAGTCGCTCGTGCACGGCGACGTCAAGTCGAGGAACGTAGTGATCGGCGCCGACGGGCGCGCCATGATCGCCGACTTCGGGTGCGCGAGGGCCCTCGGTTCGGCCGGGCCGATCGGAGGCACGCCGGCGTTCATGGCCCCGGAGGTGGCACGAGGCGAAGAGCAGGGGCCGGCCGCCGACGTGTGGGCTCTCGGCTGCACGGTCGTCGAGATGGCCACCGGGCGCGCCCCGTGGGGCGAGATGGACAACGTCCTTGCCGCCGTCCACCGGATTGGGTACACGGACGCCGTGCCGGAGGTGCCGACGTGGCTGTCAGCGGAGGCGAAGAGTTTCCTCGCCATGTGCTTCGCGAGGAACGCCCGCGACCGGTGCACGGCGGCGCAGCTCCTGGAGCACCCGTTCGTGGCATTGCAGGCAGGAGAGGCCAAGGCCAGGTGGGTGTCTCCCAAGAGCACGCTCGACGCAGCATTCTGGGAATCGGAGACCGACGAGGAAGAGGAGGAGGAGGAGGAGGTTTCGGAGAGCCCGTCCGAGAGGATCAAGTCATTGTCGTGCTCCGTCTTGCCGGACTGGGACTCCGACGAAGGCTGGATCGACGTGCTCGGCGAGCAGTGCGAAGCTTGCGATTCACCAGCAGCAACCAAGGGGCCAGCTGATGTGTCCAGCAGGGCGCCAAGCAAAGTGCTCGGGTCCCCGGCGGTGCCAGCTGAAGACGTAGCTGTCGTCGGCACCCTTTCAAGTGATGAACATGAAGTGGACGCAGAGGATGAGCCTTTCGGTGACGATACCATCCTGGCCGCTGATCCTTCGGTGGACCGCCAGAACCAAGTGTGTTCGAGCTCAGATAGAGATGTACTTTCATCATCACATGTACCCTGTAATAATCGAGTTCTTGCAATAGAAAAGTTTCGTTTTCCACAAATCTTGCTGTGCCGTTCTGACAATCTCTCTTGCGTTCCTACTCTGTTCTGGACCAGTACTGAATTTCTAGCCGTGCGTGGAGAACACAGTGCGTCTCCCTCTTTACACTCCAACTCACAACAAAAATCTTCCTAAAACTTACACAACTACAGTACCACAGTAGTAGATAGTAAGTGACTACGCAGTAGAGAAGAATGGGCATTTGCTTTGCCTGTGGTAGCACGGCAAGGAAAGAAAAACCACGAAATGACTGTTTCCTTGTGCTGAGAAGCTAAGGCTTTGGACGAAGCGTGCGGTTTATTCCATGCCAAACAATTCCATCTTCCATCACAGGTCGACACGGCCGGATCGTCTCGGCCTCTCGGCCACGAAACGGGCGGGCCGACTTGGCGTTGGAGGTGCGGGCGTCAGCCCACGCCATCTCGTGCGTACGCCTCCACTTGCTTGATTAATGAATGGATCGCGCGGCAAGAAGAAAGCCTCCCCTCCCGTCCCGAGTGGGAAAGCCAGCGACGGCGGCGCGGGCGTCCGCTCAAGCAAAGGGGGACCGAGCCGTACCCGCCCCTTTTAATTCGCGATAGGGGCCAGGGAAAATGGGATGGATATATGCCTCTCCCCGCCGCCCCGGGGACCTAGCCGCCCGAGCCACCGCCCCGGAAGGGACTCGGATTAGGTGACATGCGTGACATGCACGGTGACGTGCGGCCCAAATTCAAATTTAAACATTGCGAAAAAATTTGAAAAAAATCATGCATGTTCACAGCATATACTAAGACAATCCTTAAAAATTTCAGATCAAAATTCGAAACATACATCGAGAAATAAAAAAGAAAAACTCAGATGTGAATAGTCTATAGAGAACCGTTCAGGAACTATTCATGACAGATTTTTCTTTTTTGTTTCTCGATGTATGTTTCGAATTTTGATCTGAAATTTTTAGGGGTTGTCTTAATATGTGATGTAAACATGCATGATTTTTTTCAGATTTTTTTGTAATGTTTAAATTTAAATTTGAGCCGCATGTCATCGTGCATGTCATCGGAGCGCATGTCACCTGATCGCATTCCGAGCTAGCGAGCGGCGCATCGCCATGCAGCTCTGGCCTCTGGGTGGCGCGCGTCGGTGCGTGCGTGCGTGCGTGGGGCCGGCGCCGGCTGACGCAGCCCATGTATCACCGGTTCCATCACGCCGCACTGCTACCACATGCGATGAGTACGAGCACGGCAGGCGGCGCCGCTGCCGTCCTTCGGTGATTGTCCGGCCGTCACGTACCGCCACTGGTTAAGCCAATACGTGTGCGTACGTGTCGAGCGGGGCGCGGCGTGGAGGCCCTGTGCTCACTGCTCAGTCGCCAGTCGGCCGCGTAGTCTGTCTGATTCTGCAGCTCGCCCGTCGGCCGGCACCTATCATCGTCTCCAACATTTTGCAACTTTCGGGAGCACGGTGTACAGACGGGCACCATCTGATTGGGCCACACGGGATAAGGACTACTCTACTCCTATGGAAGATGCGAGAACATCCTATGGAATCCACGGGGAAATGGCATTTGGGTTTGGGAAATGATATGGCTGCCGACTCGTGCAACGGAAGAGTCCACGCCTCTCGGGTTGCCTCTCTCGCTCTCGAGGCCTCCCCTGTCTGTCTTGGTTGCTTTGCCACTGCATGCTCTCTGTTGCTTTCACCCTTACTTCGGGACACGGTGATGAGGCTAGAAGATTCTAGAGAGGCCTGAAACGTTTGGCACAAACATCACATGCATCGGTGGCTACCTGATTCTGGAAAGATCCAGAACGTTTCAGTTCCTGCTTCCGGATTTTGGTAAGTGGGGTTTCGTTCGACGAACTATAAGCCGTTTGGATGATGGTTGCCAGGTGGAGTATTTAACCAAAAACTATCACAATTGACTAAAACGTGACGAAAAACTACCACTTTACGTTTTTGTGCGAAAAACTACCACTTTTTGTCTAATCTTTGACTAAAAACTACCATGTCAGAAAAGCGCCCGATTCGCCTCTTCTGAACACCTTTCTGACAGGATGGGCCCACCTGTCAGCATCAATCTTCTTCCTCCTCTCTCCGGCATTTCCTCAAACACCTCACGTGCACTCCGCCGCTTTGCCCCCACCGGCCGGCAAGCCCCGCTACCTGCGCCACCTTTCTACGACAGCCTGCGGCGTCCGTCTGGCCGTGCGACGGCGCCATGGGTGGCTGCTACTCTGTCATCGCGGCCTCCAGGATGCTGGCCCGGAGGCGCGCCGCCGCCGCCATCATGCCCGTGGCCAGCGCCGCCGACTGCCCCCCGACAGCGACGCCAACAGCGGCAGCTGCTGCTGCAAGAAGAAGCGCAGGTCGACCCTGGGCGACGACGACCAGTGCGCGCCCGGCGGGGAGGGCTTCGCCAAGCGGTATCGGCTGGGCGCGGAGTTGGGGCGCGGGGAGTTCGGGGTGACGCGCCGCTGCGAGCACGCGGCCACGGGCGAGGCGCTGACCTGCAAGACCACCCGCCGCAAGTGGCTGCGTCGCGCCGCCGACGCCGAGGACATGCAGCGGGAGGTGGAGATCCGGCGGCGCATGTCGGCGCTGGAGGGCGCAGGCGGCGCCGTGGTGCGGCTCCGCGAGGCGAATCGGGCGCTTTTCTGACATGGTAGTTTTTAGTCAAAGATTAGACAAAAAGTGGTAGTTTTTCGCACAAAAATGTAAAGTGGTAGTTTTTCGTCACGTTTTCGTCAATTGTGGTAGTTTTTGGTTAAATACTCTTGCCAGGTGGCATGTTATTACCTCGGCAGGTGCCATGTAATCACTATCCAACAAAATTGTAGGTGAATAGGACTGGAAAAACTCAGTGTCGTCGTGGCCAGCTCAGCCTCCCAGCTCATTTTTTCAAAAAAGAAAGAAGGAAAAAACTAAGCGACCAAGCGTGCTTTGGCGGCACCGAACAACTACAGGTGGAACGGCCCGTGATTTTAGACCAACCGGCTTCGAACATGTGCACAGTCAGCCGAGCTGGTATTAAGCTTGTTGATCAAACTCGTACTCTTTGTACTCCTCTCAGCTCTGTCGATCTCAAAGCGTTTATACGCATCCAAAATTCTAACGATTATCTTTGGGAAAGGAAAAATATATAATGGTCCAATGCAACAGTAGGCATGAATAGTTAAGTGTGAGCAGTGCAGGGTTGACTTCCGTCCTGTTAGTCATTTCATTCCTGGCGTGCGAACACTACAGAGAAGTCAGACAGTGGTGCCAATAGAAAAGAAAGAAAAAGAAGACGAAGGCATCATGACTCCGCAAATGTCAACTGAGCTCAGGAGGGCCTACGCACCCGGCCACAGCGCCTCACCGTTCACCGATCAACTGCTAGTCGTATTATTAATGTCGACTAGATTCGCAAAAATAAAAGTGCCGACTACACTACGGCGTCCGTACCATGGTGTTTTATATAGGAAAATGTGCTCTATTCTACATCGCGTCGGTACTCCGCAGTGTCTCTGGCCAACATAAATAAACAAATTCTCAAGTAGTACTCCCTCCGTTTCTTTTTAGTCTGCATATAAGGTTTGGTCAAAGTCAAGCTTTGCATAGTTTGACTAACTTTATATTAAAAAATATTAACATTCATAATGTGAAATTAACATTTTCAGATGCACCATGAAATATATTTTCATATTATATAGTTTAAGTATTGTAGATGTTCATATTTTTTAATATAAATTTGGTCAAACTTTGTGTAGTTTGACTTTGACCAAAACTTATACGCGAAGTAAAAAGGAACGGAGGGAGTACAATCTATTACTCCGTATCCACTGCTTTCTATGAAAAGGGCACGAAAATTCTAATAATTGAGGCAACGCAAGTATAACGCCGCCCGTTACGACGCCGCGACGTGTCGTGCTGCTGCACCAAGAACAAAACGCCAGCACTTTTCCGGCTTCCCCACGCGAAAAATATACTCCAACGATGAGGAGAAACGCTGCGCTCTCGACACTTGTCGAGGGGACAAGTGTGACAGGTAGTGGTGGATTCGGGGCGGAGCACCTACCAGCAATGCCAACTCACTACCACGAGTGTTCCGCGACAGGTGCGAGCTCATACATACCTGTAGTATATATAACGAAGATAAGTTCAGGTCTTTTTTAGGTTCTGCCGTGAGCTAATAAGCTGAGCTAAGAATGATTCGATGGATGCGAGGAGGGTTGTCACCTCGCTGGCCTGGCCTGGCCAGGGGGGATGTTTATCGCCAAGCCAAGGCGTGATTAATTCACGACAAGGTCCAAACAGGTTTACACAGATCAAACCATGCAGTGCCAGTGCCAGCCGGCGGCACGGGCGTGGATCGGCAAAACACACAGTCGGTTGCGCGCCTCTGTTGCGGACACATTTCGCGGGCAGCAAACTGAGGCAGAGCGGCAGGCAGTACGTATCCATTTTCTGACCACCGCTGGAGGGAGCTGGTCTGATTGCATCAAACTTGCTCGCCGCCGCCTGCGATACGGAAATACAATATGGGATGGACCGTCCGACGAGATAACTTGAGGCTGACATATGTGCAAGCCACCGAACAGATTCTATCTAGCGAGCTCGCCGTGTCGTCCCTAGGCAGGCAGGCGGCGAGGCCTTGCCAAATGCCTGCTCTGCCCGGGCGATCAACTCTGTGCCGGCCAGGCTACGTGCGCCGCTCCTCCTGCTCTTTCGCGCCACGCGCGTCGCTGCATGAACCACATGTATGCGCCTGTCGCGCACGCGGCCGCGGTAGAGCACGCGCTCGCGCACATAAACTTTGGGTTGCCACCGGAGGCTCTCGCGGTGCTTGACCTCACATCTATTCAACGGTTGGGTGCCAGGTACGTAGAAAAAAAAGACCTTCAGTTTATCTGCATACATTTCCAAAAGAAAATAATACTAGTTCATGTTGAGGTAAGGGTGACAGAACATCTCGCTCAGCCGATAGATACTGCAACACGCTTTTGAAAAAAGAGATAGACACAACACTAAAAAATATAACACCGACTACTCACTATTTTAGAGATCTAAAAGATTTTATATTTGTTTACAGAGTATAACACAACCGATATTTCATGCACAAAAAGAACAATGGCCCCATATTACTCTTTTTTGAGTTTCTTTTTGACAAATGT